TTGGCCTTTGTATCAACTTGATATCAAGAATGCATTTCTTGATGGATATGTGGAAGAAGTATATATGGATGTTCCCAAAGGGGCGAATTGTCCTAATACTACAAATGTAGTGTGTAGATTGTATAAGTTGTTGTATGGCTTAAAACAGTCTCCAAGAGCCTGGTTTGAAAGATTTACAAAGTGTGTGATAAAATTGGGTTTCTTGCAATGTCAAACTGACCATACCATGTTTGTTAAGCATGCAGGTAGTAAGATGACAGTATTAATCATATTTGTAGATGATATTATCCTAACAGGTGATGACAATGAAGGAATCCAAAATCTCAAGAAGATTCTAGTAAGGGAATGAAAGATTTGGGCCATTTGAAATACTTCCTAGTGATGGAAGTGGCAAGATCAACAAAGGGAGTGGTTGTATCATAGAAAAAATACGCCTTAGACTTACTACAGGAAACTAGGATGCTATGTGCCAAGCCATTAGGTACTCCTATGGATCTTGGTATCAAATGAGAAACCAAAGATGATGGTGTTGTAGTAGACGAAGAAAGATATCAGAGACGTGTAAGAAAACTGATATACCTCTCACATACAAGGCCACACATCAATTACCCTGTAAGGGTGGTGAGTCAATTTGCTAGTAGCCCATAAGAAGAACATCTTGAGACATTATGTGCAATTCTAAGATACGTGAAGATGAATCCTGTTAAAGGGAGTCTTTTTCAACAAGAGCAGCTCTAGAGGACTGGAAATCTATATAGATGCTAACTATAGTGGTTTCCTGGATGATGGATCTACCACAAGTTACTTTACTTATCTATAGGGAACCTTGTGACGTGGAGAAGCTAGAAACAACCTTTAGTTTCATGAAGTAGTGTAGAATTTGAATATAGAGCTGTAGCACTTAGTATATGTGAGGGAATATGGTTCCTTGGGGTACTCAAGGAAGTCAAACTTGAACTTCACCTTCCAATTCAAATGTGGAGTGATGGCAAGGCAGCAATAGTGTTGCAAATAATCCTATACATCATGACAAGACTAAATGTGTGGAGATAGATAGGCACTTTATAAAAGAAAAACTACAAGCAAGCATTAAGGCTTTGAACTATGTTCGTTCTAAGTCTTAAGTTGCTTATCTTATCAAGGTGCTTCCACACAAGAGATTTGATGTATTGAGTAGCTAGTGGGGAATGCTTTATATATACTCGCCAGCTTGAGGGGAGTGTTGGATGGCGTCTTGGGCACAAGTCCAACAAGCCCAATATTCAGATTTTTATTTAAACTATTTAAGTCCTATTTAGTTTTAAAATTTTTCTGTTATACCCCTAATTATATGGGATTATAAGAGATTAGATTGTTTTATCTTATCTTCTAGTCAATCTGTTTGATTGTTTTGGAGTTTCTGGAACTGGGATATATAGTTCTGTCTCGTACTCCTCAATTTGTGGAATAAATTTATGAAACCTGCAAATTCCTTTTTGGAAGTGATAGACCGAAGCTTTACAGCTAAAGAAGAGATGATGGGGATTCTAAAACATCATGTACACTGTGAAGAAAGCTTAATGAGGCAAAGGGCTGACTTTCACTGAACAGATAGGGAGTATGCTGTGGGACAATGGGTTTTCCCAAAACTACAACTCTATAGACAATTTTATCAGCATCAAGGAGCTCTTAGAATTAGCTCCTAGATATCTTGGTCTCTACAAGGTGCTAGAAAGGATTGGGGCTGTAAAGCAAAGACACCATCCAGGCTAGAGCTAGAGCTACCACAAGAGACAAGGATCCACCTAACATTCCATGTTTCCATATTAAAACGGTGGCCAGACCCATTCTGTATAGCAAAGACGCGATCCAAAAGATTGGCCAGAACTTCCTACAAGTTCAGAACCTGAGAAAATTCTGAACAAGAGAATTGGCAAATGCAAAGGGCACATTATTACTGAAGCACTAGTGGAAGAGGTTACCAGATGTAGAAGCATCTTCTCTGTTTCAATTCCAACAAAAATTGCCTCACTTTCATCTCTGTTTTTTTTTTGGGTGGTTATTATTGTGTAATAGTAATTTTGTAAGTGACGGGAATATGAATTCTAAAGTTTGTTAGGATAATGATAAGAAAATGATCGTTAGAGTGGTTGAAAGGTATTGAGCCTATGAATAGGATACAAGCATATGTTGTGTTCAGATTCTGATTTGTAAATGTCAGTGAAGTAATTCAGTGCGCATTTCTCGGATTCTTTATTTCCTATGACCTTCCCCCCTTGATTCCTCTTGTTCTTCTCTCAATTCTCTCTCTCTCTCTCCCCTTCCCTCTCTTTCCTTCTCTCTCCTCTCAGAATTATAAAACATCATTCCCTATTAATATAGTTTTTAGTTTAAGTACCTTGATGTAGAGTTTGATGCCAGAAAAATACTTGTTTATTCACTGAGGTAAGCTTACACTTTATAGAGGCACAAACCCTTGCTCTCTATTAAATCTAGGATCTGGTCGAGGTACATAATCATTATAAAATCAAGATAAATCTAAACAAATCTCCTATGTTTAATGCTATGTACAGACGACGTAGGCATAAAAAAGTAGTGTTTAAATCCCTAAACAGAAAGTGAGAGAGTAATAGAGGTATAAGCCCAGTGGGCGATCTTCAGCGTCAACACTTGAGTTGGGCTCTAGTAAAACCATAATTTACTTTTGAATGTTAAATGCAAGTGATGAATTACGTTCTTTAAGGAGCGCCTAATAGTATAAAATCTTGAATTGTCTGACATCAAACAATTTGGGATAGGTAAGAGGCCAGAAGAAAAACCAAAGGAATAGAGAGGTCTTACAGTGAGAAACAGCCAGAGACCCTGTTGATGATTGATAGTATGACAAGTGAAAAGCAAAATAGAAAATGATTAGATTATGTAATAGCTTCAAGGAAAAAGAAGAATTTCATTGTGCGTGTGTGTAACAATGATGTTTCTTATAGAATTTAAATTTATCTAAATTAAAAAAAAAATGAAATTTAGATGCTTACCAACATAGGAGACGACCATCCAAATATTTTCATCTGCATAATGTGGGCTCTGTAAGTGTACTCATAAATTAATGTCTAAAACTAATAACCATAACAGATTAAATGAAGTGAAAATTAATATACCTTTTCATGTAATGTTGCCCATAGTCACTCTTATTTATAAGATCAAGAAATGAAAAATGTATAGTGGACATGAGTAGCTAGCCAGCCTTGAATATTTCAGTTAAAACACTTTTTTTTTTTTTTTAACCAGTATTTCAGTTAAAACTTTGGTGCCAGTACAATTTCTTTAACTAGTTATAGCGACCACAATAGCAAACTCACCTTCCTTGATGGGCCCATCATTCTCCGACATGATGAAGCGATCAGTATCCACGCAGGGGATTGGTTGCCATCTGACTTGAAGCCCCTTCACCTCCTCAATCTGTTCTTTCGGATTCGAACATTTCTGATTGCATGTCCTGGGCCTTCGAGGCAGTACCCTCAGTGTGAAGTCAATGCTGCAAAATTCTGGCACCTGAAAAACACTTGCATTTAATGCTAAAACATGTGAATAATGCCCTTCTTTTCTACATGGCTCCGCGTTGACCTGGTACTGAATAGAAGAGATTGGATTTTCACAGTTGAGGTGTATGATTCCTTTCCTTTTCGGATAATAACCATAATGATAATAATAAAACAAGTAATCATAGTCAAAATAATAATAAGGATTATAATAACGATAGTATTCAATCTCTTCTTTTGTTTCTTCCTGGTCAACTTGTTGGCTGATATTGTTGTATGTGAAGGAAGGAAAAGTGAGGATGGTGGAGCAATTATTGCTGTTGGATCCAACGCTGACAGCTTGAAGAGTGGAATTAGCTGTAAAGAGGGCTTGCAAACGGGGTGTACCATAGTATATGTAAATTACTGTCTGGTTGTTTTCGCATGTCAATTTGTAATGACTGCTATTATCTTCAGGGTATTCATGGCGATGCAGCGTGGGATATAAGATGTTGCTGTGCAATACACCTGCGATGTCGTAAAGTACACTTGGGTAACTGAAGAGAAACATAGTGGTCACGATGAACCCAAGGATGAACAAGACTTGCGGTAACATTATTGAATGGGATCGGTATGATGATTATGTTGTTATGCTAAAGAAAGTGATTGTGGAATGTGGAGTGAGTGTTTGAAGCCAAGATGATGATTCTCAACACACTATAGTGTCCGATTGGTTTGTTCAACAGAGAATGTTGGCTGTCGATGTGGTGGCTGGTGAGCTTTTGCTTTTGTCAATGCCTGTGATTTTCCCGGAAACTTCCTCGCGTATTTTGCCTATAACAATTGTCATCATTAATAAACTCAGCGATAATGAGAAACGTCCTTTTTGGCGCGGGCCGGCTTGACCATTCCACCCCTGCCAATCAGACTTTTCACGTAAAGGATATTTCATTTGATTCTACAACGCGTTTATGTAGCTTCGCTTGTGCCAGGTTCTACATTGCCGCTATACAGTGGTAAAAAGTTTGGGTAATTCCAAGTTGAAATTTCAATGTCCATTCGTAGTTCCAAGTTGAAATTTCAATGTCCATTGTTATATCTTTACCGGATTCTTGAAATGTCTATTAGATGGTGGATAAAGTTATTATATTGGATTCTAATGAACTTTTGCCGTTATTTTACCTTTTGCATGATGTTCTTTTCTGGTCTCTTGAAGGAGGATAGCGTGTTTGGAAAGCTAGCATTGAGCCTTTCGCTCTTCTCTGCTTCTCCACTTAACGTCTGTATATTAATTATTGGTATAATATTAAACACAAAGAGACCCCAGAAAGAAACTTGCAGTAGATTCACAAGATATACACCATGCTGTGTAAACAAATCACTTTCTAGTAAAAAAGGTTAAAAAGTGGGAACTGAATGTAATAAAATAATTCATCAAGACAATGTTTCGGAGCCAACAGTAATACAGTACGAAATACAGGTCTTGAGAATTTGTCCAAGTCAATGCCGCATCAGCCTTTGGCCAAAAATAAAAAAAATTTCCATATCAGACGGCTTGACTTAAAGACATCAATTATGGGTGCCTTTAGAATCAATAATAAGTCCCACTCGACCACTACCGCCAAGCAATTGATGAATTGCAGGTTGACTTACTGTGTAAAGGAAGAAAATGAAAGGTTTGAAAATTGGTTTCATTCATTGAGGAAGGAACTCTCCCATTCACTCCATCATTTTTCCTGGAAATTTCCTGCAAATAGCATCGAAGGGACCTCCAAATCTCCAGGAGGGGGGTGTGATTGCTTTCCCTTTCTATAGTGTTCAAACTTGCACATAACTGCAAGTTTGGTTTCAAGTATAAGCTTTATACGCAACGATTTTTCTGAAGAACAAAAGATAAATGAAACAGCACTTGCATGTCAAGCATGGCCGATTGGCCATCCTGTTCTTATTCCTCTGTTTCTTTCCAACTATTTTTGCAGAACCTGTTCTCCATGATCCATGCATACAATCAAGGTGTAGTGTTTATGGACCAGAGATTCGATTCCCCTTTAGACTCAAAGGAAAACAGCCAGAAGCATGTGGTTATGGTTCTGGCTTTGATGTATACTGTACTGAAACAAATAAGACAGTGCTCGAGCTGCCTTCCTCTGTCAAGGTTTTCGTCCAAGGCATAGACTATAAATCACAGTTCGTAACTGTATCTGATCCTGATGGATGCCTTCCTCATCTCACTTTATATTCATCTCCTTTTCGGTCAACTTACGATTATGGATCAGGTGGATATGCATTATTCAACTGTTCAGGGACGTCTCGTAGAAATTCAGAATTTCGACAATGGGGGGACTTTTCTTGCCTCGATGTTCCTGGCTATGAAGTTTTAGCTATACCGTACACAGGGAGAATCATGGACAACCCTCTGTTATCATGCATGAGAATTCCTAATTACACATCAGTGCCTGAGCCATTTATTTACAGTGACCATACAATAAGTCTATCTTGGCCCAAACCGGATTGCAGAAACTGTGAAGAAAATGGAGGGCAGTGTAAATTGAGAGAAGACAAAGTTGAACGTGAAAATGAATGTATCAAAAGCCCTCGTAAAGGTATAATTTTTTCTTCATTCATAATAACTTCATGAATTGTGAGTTTAAAATCTATGAATAGCTGATATGAAGTTGATTTACTTTTTCAGGTCCACCAAAAAAGATAGAACTTTCTGGTAAATATTCTTCAGCAAATGATTTATTTCGCACATTGAAGATAAAAGATCCACAATATCAATTTTAACAACACTATATGTTGGTGTATTTTTAGGTGAAATCTTAGGCCCGTTCCTGCTCATATTTGTTGGAGTTATTATTTATTGGGTCTATGCAGCTAGCCTCGAGAGGCAAGGTTACAAGAAAATTAGGAAGTTTTTGGAGGATTACAAAGCACTTAGGCCAGCTAGGTACTCCTATGCAGATATAAAGCGAATCACAAATCAATTCAAGGATGAACTTGGACAAGGAGCTTATGGAACTGTCTATGAAGGGAAGCTATCTAATGAAATTCTGGTTGCTGTTAAGCTCCTAAACACTTCCACAGGGAATGGACGAGAGTTCATCAATGAAATGGAAACAATGTGTCAAATTCACCATGTCAATGTTGCTCGCTTGGTTGGCTACTGTGCAGATGGATTCAAACGAGCTCTGGTTTATGAATTCTTACCTAATGGTTCATTGCAGAAATTCATAACTTCAGCTGACAGAAAGGACCTTTTTCTGGGTTGGGCAAAGCTTCATGATATTGCTCTTGGCATAGCCAAAGGAATTGAGTATCTTCATGAAGATTGTGACAAACGAATTCTTCACTTTGATATCAAACCTCACAACATTCTTCTAGATGATAAGTTCACGCCTAAAATATCTGATTTTGGTTTGGCCAAACTGTGTTCAAAGGATCAAAGCATTGTGTCAATGACAACAGCTAGGGGCACTTTGGGCTACATTGCACCAGAGATTTTTTCTCGAAATTTTGGCAATGTATCCTATAAATCAGATGTTTATAGTTATGGAATGTTGCTCCTTGAAGTGGTTGGAGGGAGAAAAATCACAGATGTCACAGCAGAAAATACTGAACAAGTTTACTACCCACAATGGATTTACAATCTTTTAGAGAACAATGAAGACATACAAATCCATATAGAGGGAGAGGAGGACACTAAAATTGCAAGAAAACTATCTATTATCGGACTTTGGTGCATTCAATGGCATCCAGCAAATCGTCCAACCATGAAGAATGTGGTTCAAATGTTGGAAGGAGATGATGAAAAGCTAATTTTGCCTCCTAATCCTTTTGGGTCTACACATGCAACCAGAACAAGCGTTGTTAATGGAGCAAGGAGATTGAAGCCAGAGTTATCTGTCATTTCTGAAATAGAGTGAAGTTGAGATGATTGATGTATACTCTAACTATTTGTGTATTGTTTTTCTTACTTTGTTGTATAATGAGCTAGGTAAGGTGTAAGTCTGAGTTTAGATTTGTTGCCAGTCTTTTGCTTGTTGTTGATACAAGGTTCAAAATATGATCATACCCAGTTAGACATGGAAAATATTCTACAAGGTTATAAATTATAATAAAGTCTCCATGTTGTTCCCAGAGTTTGTAAACAGTCTTTTTTTTTTAAAAAAAAAATTCCAGTACAGTATTTACAAGCCACATGGTTCACAAAAGCTACACCATTATTTATCATCTTGAAGGAAATACATGATCCTTTTGTATGAAACGGAAAGGAAAAGGACTGCAAACTATATGCATATATGTGAATGGCTTCTCTATTTTGATCAATGATTTAAAAACCGAACTGAACTGGACTGTCAAACTGGTCGAACTGTCTATCAGAGTTGTTAATAGATCAGTTTGAACCAAAAAATCATTTTTATAATTGAGTTAGATTGGACTGAAGTTAAGCCACTATTAAGCCAGAAATCGGAGTTGAACTGGGAACTAGAGTGGTTTTCATAAAACTAGACGGTTTTAAACATAATATTAAAAAAGCTTAAAAATTTTAAAAAACTAGAAATTCAAAAATTAGATCACACTATAAATGAGCTTTATTTTTGGATAATTCACATGTATAAAATATGATTTGAAATCATCCTTTTATAAAGATGTTGATAATTGTTGGTGTAAATACAGATACTTTTGAGTCAACTCATATTTAATTTAACTAAAATCTATCTATATTTAACAAATTATAAAATTATAATTTACAATGTCATTAAGTTACAGTTATGTTATGTCATTTTATTAATAAATTTTTTCTTATATTTATTATATGCAATATTATTTTTATTGAATTATTACATCATTAGTCCAACCGTTGGTTTAATTGGTTAAACCATAAAAATTGAGAATCACTGACTTTTTGATTTAATGCCCAGTCCGGCTTTTAAAACATTCACTTAGAAGATAAAGATTTAGAATTGAAACATTAAAGAAAAAAATGATAAATAAGAACAGATTTAAAGCATACTATTATTTAAAAAATATAAAAATACTCATAGCCCGCCATGATATCCTTTTCTAGGTTACACAAAATGAAAATAAAAAGATAAATCATTGACTCTTAATCAACCATAATTGATGAAATTTATCTCTACTGACTTCAATATTGATAACACTTTTTCCACAAAGGATATAAGGAAAATTTTTTTTTTTGAAGTTTCTAGGAAGTGGTTTGCATTTTTTTGGTCGAAAGAAAAAGAGGCATTAATTAAAGCAATTCTACCATATACATTGACAAAAGGAAAAACTACATTGAAATGGGGACACTATGTAGTGTGTGTGTGTGTAAATATTTTCTTGGAGGTCAATTTTTTGCTCAAGGCTCTTTATATTAACATTTTTTCATCGAGGGTTGATCATTTGTGTGCAACGGGAATCTATTATAATATTCTTCGTGATTTTCCATTCTTGATATATATTATTATTAGTCTCATCTATAATCCTAAAACTAAAACCATCAGCTTTTGACTTTTTAATTTTTTTTAGATTTTTTATTATAAAAATCTTTACAGAACTTCAAAAGCGCAAGACATAAAATAAAAACGCACATGAGGTTTTTTTTTTTTAACGTTTTGTGAATTTTATAAGAATTACATTTGAAAATTAAAAAAGATAAAAGATACGGTCATTTGAAGTTTAATTTTGTGAAGTGGCCTATTTTGAATTTGTTTTGATTTTTTTCCTGAATTGTACAAAAATTTTATATTAAAAGTTAAAAAAAAAAGACTTTTGAAATTTCCACCTTAAATCAATACATTATCTGGCCTTGACTAAGATGTATTTTGGATTATTGTGATTCATTGATAATTAAAGAAATCAATAATGGTTGAGTTGAATCAATTCCTTGCACCAACCCACCTCCACCACCCATTAATGAATGGCACAAGAATTTTCAACGGAAATGGAGATAATAATGATAATATGAGGATTTTGATAAAATATAATATAAATTAACTAAAAAGTTAAGAACAAATAAATTGAATTTACATAATTCAATAAATATTAAATATAAAAAAACTACATTTACAATTGCTTCTATTTATTTATTATTAAATATATTAAAATGAAAAATAATTAGACTGCTATAATTTTTTTTTAGCTAGGTTATATTATTATATATCGTTGAAAATCGATTTGACGTATAATGGACAATGGCTGGGATGGAACCATAGGAAGATGAAAACAAAAAAGCCAAATAACTGAATTTAAGTCAAACGCAATTGATGTGCTTTAATATCATTGAATTCATTGTTGAGGACAAATTTTGCACAAAGTGACAAGGGAAATACCCATGAAGTTTCCAGGAAAAGAGAGACATTAATTGGAGAAACCGACTATATTGGCAAGATTCTAAACATTAAACAAGACAGCATTTTACCATTATGCAAAATAATAATGTTTGTGGGTTACATTAATTAGACACATCGTAGACACTTGCTTGGATATTCAGAATCTGGCAATGCAATGAGTTTCATCATAAAAGAAGATTGGCTTGTAGTAATTAAGTTAAATATTTCTATTTTCTAGACACCAAATAATACAAGAAATTATTAGCTACCATATTTGTCAAGAATGAGTGAACTTAAAAGTCAATATAAGAAATCTCGTATTGGATAAAATTAAATTTCATAACTAATATTCTCTTCGGTCCTTGATATAAAGCAGTTAACAAACTTCACGCTTACTAAAAAAACAGGTAGTTATATCCTTAATATGGTAGTTTTTAAAAAATAAATATGTAAAATTAGAAAAAATATTAATTATTCTAACTTTGACTTATATTAAAGTCTGAATTTTTTTAAAAAAATTGTCTTATATTAAGGCTGCAGGGAGTATATTATAAAATGGAAGAATTCATAAATTTAAATATTGAGGTTTTAAATTAAAAAGAGGTGTCATTCTGCTACTATTCACCTATTTGTTCATGAGATTCTAGGTGTGATGTGTGTGTGTGTGTGTGTGTGGTTACGTTTCGTCTAGAATTTCAATACATGTTAGGCATGACTAAATGACAATAATCATGCCAAATGATCAAAAGACTAAGGAAGAAGCATTGAATACAAACTAGCTATTTTACTATTAACGATGATTTACCACGACATCCTTTCAATGAGTCCCTTTCCAATTGACAGAAGGACCCCATGGATCACTACCAATTAATCACTCCTAGGAGGACTTTCTACGCAAAGGATATAAAATAAATTGTATTATCAAATATAATGTGGAGCTTAATACGATCTTCTGTAACTTCGTTTTTTAGGAAGACCTATTGGATTAATTATATCAACATATACTTAAACTATCCATCAGAATTATGTCATTCAAACAATATTAATCCAAATTGTTTTCAAAATCCATAACTAATAAAGAGAAATATTACTGGATGACTTTGTTATCCTTCTAAAAGCTGAAAGTCCAGTAAATCAAAATGCTAAGCAAACATTGAACATGCTAACAATTATAATAGTTTTACAGGTTCATTGCAAAACGATAACTCATTCTGAACTGAAATTGTCATGAGTACAACTGTATCAAATTTTGTAACCCTTCTTGCCAATTAAGTTAGATAAATTTAGGGTGGTAAAGGTTCTTGGAGCTCAATTTCTCCCTCAAGCATCACTATGACTTTTTTCATCGAGGGTCGATCACTAAGATACATTTGTATGCAATGTGAAGCTACTATAATCATCTTCTTTGCAATTTTCCTTTCCTTATCTGAGGTATTACCCTCATCTATTGATTCCTCAAATTGGTCGTAGACCCATTTGGCAAAATATGTTTGCCAAGAATGTTCAATGACATTTGTATTCTTTCTTCTCCCGGCCATTTCCATGGGCAACATCTCAAAACTATAAATATCAGCTTTACATGATATCCCTCTAATGTTCTTGTACAAAAATTCAGGCGCCATGTATCCAAATGTTCCCCTTGCATTCGTCAAAGATACAATACTCTTATCTAATGGATACAACTTAGCCAATCCAAAATCCAAAACTTTTGGATTAAAGTTCTCATCAAGAAGGATATTGTGGGGTATGATATCAAAGTGTAGAATTTGCAAAGCACATCCTCGATGTAAATATTCAATTCCTGGAGCAATCCCTAGAGAAATATTAAATATTTTTTCAAAATTGATCAACGCATTCCCCTGTTTCTTTGAGAAAATGTACCTGTCAAGAGATCCATTACGCATGAACTCATAAACAAGAGCTCTCTTGTTTCTTTCAGCACAGAATCCGATTAGCTGCACCACATTGACATGATGAATCCTGCCAACAGTGGCAACTTCGCTGATGAAATCTTGGGCATTGGCTTTGGACTTTCTCAGTAACTTAACGGCAACACCGCAATTGCTTCGAAGCTACCTTTATAGACATAAGCATAGCCTCCTTCACCTAACTTGTTTAGTCATCTTCCTGATCTCTGAGTAAGAGTACTTGACGGTCATCAAGTTACTATTATTTTGGAGGAAGTCCTCAACATTGTCGTCATAATATTGATGCCTTCTTCTCCATCGACAAATCAAAAGTACAAATGCAAGGGGGGCACCTAGTGCAAATTTAGCTACAGACCAAAAAAACACTGTGCAAAAGATTCGATTGTTAGTATTAACTCAATTCTTGCCATATAATTAGATTTATATGACCAGATATGAGTTTAGCACACGCAAGGAACCAAGCTAATTTTTTGTTTGTCAAAAGATATATTCTATATTAAGGCAAATGTAGTTCTGATGACTCATTAAAATTCCAAGTAAAGAAAAAATAGGACAGACAGGCGTTCTTGCTCAGGGACTGACAAGATATTATGTTTTAAAAGAAATTTAAGGACCAAGACAAATAGTTGACACCTGAATTTTTTGGTAACTAAAATTACATTTCCTCAATGTTAACTTCTAAAATTCTTCAGTCCAGGGTATTAAAGAGTTTTCAACCCTATTTACACATGCGTCTTGGGGTTATGGACTGATTATATGCTATCATAAACAGAGAAGGTCTGCAAATTGATAGAATTGTTGATGAAAAGGTAAAGTTACAAATTTAATTTGACAATTTAATTCGACAAGTTCTCCATATATACAAGTCCTCAAA